ATAGAAATCTATTTTTCATTCTTAAGTGGACCATTGCTAATTTTTCACTCACACGCATCTGTGGGATTTAAGTACCTTTATGAAGGGATTTTATACCTTGTGGTTAGAGCTTTTCTGCTTTTTAGTAATGAGATGAAAGAATGTTTATTTCTTAGGCTCTCTTTTGTGTAGTCAGGTTTAAGTGTAACCTGCTTTGCTTATTCATCCATGCTGTTCCAAGTCATGGTTTTGCTCAGGACAAATAAAATGCTCTACTAGCAAGAGACTGGTAGAAAGGGAACTACCATTAATGAGGACTATAAAGTGTTAGACACTTCACTGACATTTCCTGTCCAATGTGTACACCATTCCCAGGAGGAGGTATTATCATCACCTCTTTGAAGAATCAGGCAGATAGAGGTGAATGAGTGGCCCCAAGTCACACAGCCAGAAGTGGCAGAGCCCAAGAAAGCCTGTGCTCTTGGCTCAACACTTTCAGTTCTGTGCAGGTCAGAGGTGATACACTTATCTTTATGGTCCTTTATAGCTCTGATCAGAGCTAAAACTGCCAGACTTTGGCTACTTGGAGTGTTCAAGGTTGAGGGTGATTTTCAAAGTACAGTGTGTGATACTCCCCAGCCCCAGTACCACATTTTCCAAACTAGTTTTCTGTTATTCCTAATTAATTGTTCAACATTCATTCATCAACAATCTGTTAAGCATCCACTGTAAGCCTGGTACTTTGCAAGTATTAGTCATTTAAAATACGATTATACAGATTATTCAGGTTTTGGAAGTCTGTCCTTCTGTTGGAAGATGATGAAGAGAGTCTGTCTCTTTTCCTCTAACCAGAGAGCAAAGGCAAAGTGGCCCAGAACAGAGCCTGCCCTGCCCCAAACCAACGGGCTCATGCATGCACATGTGCACATCTGATCTGTCCTGTAAAGTATGCTTGACCTTGAGCTTTGTGAGGGCAGGGACCATGTCTTTCTTGTGCTCCACACAGAGCCTGGCCTGGAGCAGGTGCTCAATGTCAGCTGAATAAATGATTAAGCAATTCCTTTGACCAATTCACTAGGAGAACTTGGGCTGCTAGCTTCATTGCTCTGTGCCTCCATTTTACAAATGAGGGTAAAAAAGAACACCCATGGCAACTTTGAGATCCCATGAGATAATACAAAGCACCCATTCCCATTATTGACGTTGCTGGGAGGCACATCCTTTCATGCCAAGAGGGATATCCTATCCCCTGTTACGTTTGAACCAGGATTTTTGTTTCTTAAAGCAGAGCTCAAGGCCACATGACCCAGCCATATGGAGCTCACTCTGCTCTGTTGTGAGAACTTTGGTCTGAGACCCTGAGGATGGGATGAGCATAGTAATTCTGGGAGGACACATCCAGTGCCCCTACCCATGCACAACTTGGGCCAGCTGGTTGCCACATTCCACCCTGTCTCTGGAGGTGGAAGGTAAACTATGTTTTGTAATTGTTAGAGTTTGATTTGAAAGCTCAACCCCAGAATGTTCTAGCCAGCTCCTCACCAGGACATGCACCATTAGCCTCTGAGCTGGTCATGGGCATGCATGTTTGTGTGTACATGTATATGCAAATATGTGCAGTGACCTAAAGGAACAGTTCTGTCCTAGCAAGGAAAAATTGTCTCCCACGGGATCTACCATGTCACACAGGTTAACCATAGTGAGTTCTTGCAGCCCTGGCTAGTAGGGCCCCAAGATACATCCCTCAAACTCGAAGGCACTTGGGGCATGCAGGGCCTGGTCTCCCCAAGAACAGCCCTTTCCAAAAGGCTCCTCTTCAGATTAGCAGCTGATTGGACTCCAGCCCTGAGCCCCACCTGGAACTTTGTCTGCCAATCCTGTGTCCCAATACCAGGCCCCTTGCAGCTTTCCAAAAAGACCCCTTGGGCACAATAATTCCCCAAGAGAGAGCCCAGACCTCAAGCCAACCATGGACAGCCATGTGATCTAGCTACCTTCCCCTGCTGGTTGTGAGCAGGGTATTCAAGGGCAAATGGCACCCCACATGAGTTTGGGACAAATGGCCACTGCACGCACATGGCCTCCTCCTGTGCTACATGATACTGACCGTACTTCTGGGGCCCCTCTTCAGGGAGGGAAGTGGGACCAAAATCCATGCTGCACAGCCTCTAGAAAGGAGAGCCATGGGGAGCTGGCCCTCACATCACCCTTCCCAGTACCTTGGTTCAGAACTCCAGCCTCTATTCCATTCCCCAAAGAAGCCAGGCTTGACCCACTACCAGGGCCAACATCATGGGCATGCAACCTGTATAGTACACAGAGCCCCACACTTGGTTTCAATGTTCTGCCACTGCTGCCTTGAAATTCTTTTAAAATTTTTGAACAATAAGTTCTGAATTTTCAGCCTGTACTGGGCCTGCAAATTAGGTAGCCAGTCCTGCCCTTTACTCATGCAATGCCTGGCTTCACATCTAAAGCCTTCCTTCCCTTTCCGTCTCTAAATCCTATCTATCCTCCCTGAAGGCAAAGTCCTGACAGAAAAATATTTGAAAAACTACAAAAGAGAGCTCATTATTTTTGGAAGAGCTTTTCTGCTCTACTGCAGATGGAACGATGGTTGACATGTTAATATTTTTATCAATCTTGAGTTTTTCTTGGCTCCATACGAGGCTAAAGGCTGCAGTGGAGGCCCTCTACCCCTCGTCCTGGTATAATTGTCTCTTGGCATCAAATCCCTTGAAGAATTGTAGAGGATTATATTTAATAAGTTCATTTTGTCCTGCTTTGGGAGCACAGGTTCAACATAGGACCCAGGTATAAGATTGGGTTCTGAGGCTCAAGTTGGTATCTACTATGTTCATTTAAATTGCTTGAAATTCTTACTTGTCCTGAAATTATTAGTAATTTTTGAACAAGAAGTTCTGCATTTTCAGTTTGCACTGGGCCTGCAAATTAGGGTGCCAGTTCTGCCCACTACTTTGCTCATGCAATGCCTAGCTCCACATCTAACAGCCTTCCTCTTTCCTTTCTTTCTCTAAATCCTAAATCATATTTAATAAGCTTATTTTGTCCTGCCTTTGGAGTAAAGGTCCAAGGCAGGACATGGGTACAAGATTGGGTTCTGAGGACCAAGTTGGTCCAGCATGCTCATTTACTTGCTATGACTTCAGACAAATCCCTGTCTTAGAGCCTCATTTTAATCTTCTGGAAAGTGGGTCACATTTCATATCATGAGACTTTGGGCCTGAATCATTCATCTCTCTGTGTGTCAGAGGCAGACCCAACTCTCTTTCTGAAGCTTTGACCAGTTATTTTTGGAGGTAGGTGGCCATTAATTCAGGCACATGTCTCGCCTACAATTTCTGATCTGTGAGCTCACAGAGCACATGAGGGTTCATTCCCTTTTCTCCTGAAGCCCATTCAGGGGTCCCCAGGTGAGGCAACCATACTCTGGGTCATCTCAGATTTAACCTTGGATTGTGCCAGAGGGGCAGAGAGCTGAGTTCTGGGCCCATGTTGTTTTCTTCTGCAGAGCTGTGTTGATCACTCAGCATTGCCAGCATTGTGAGGCTGTGAGAGGCGGCCTCATGAATCTTGCTATTGTCTCTAGGACAGGGGTATTCTCAAGAACATTATCTACAGCATCACACAGTGACTCCTTTGTGGAAGAAGTATATAGGAGAGACTCCACTCAGGTCTCCATATTCACAAAACTGTGTTTCTGCAGAATGAGTTGATCACTTTGGGTGCTTGTGATCCTTCTGAGAGCTGAGCTGCTGGGATACCCAGGGCTAGACTAGGGCCTTGGCTGGCAGGCAGGCAAGCCCTCAGGCAGGACAGCCCAGGGTCAGTTTTTCCCCAGGTTTAGTTGTTGCAACCTCTTTTCTCTTTACTTTCTGTGTGCCCTAATGCCCTTACCTTTTTGTTTTACACTTTTTCTCTTGCATATGTCTTTATAAACACCTCTCTCTGCTGCAGATGAGATGTGACATAAATATGCCAATTTATGTTTAAATCTACCACACTTTCAGGGGAGCTGTGACAATTAAGAACTGAACTGCTTTGCAAATACCATGGAAGCAGCACCAGCCAGTGGGGCTGGGCTTGGGTGGGAGGCAGGGGTCTTTCCTCTAGGCTGGATCACTTTGCCATAGGCAGCAACCCCCAGCCCCCAGCCCAAGTTACTCATTGATACCTGTTTAATTATTTTTTAATAAATGAAAAGTGATTAAATACACTCTGAAATCTTTGTAATCTCCCTTGAGATCTTGCTGAATTGACTTAAGTCAAGAGCTGGGAACTGAAATTCTGGCTGAGACTCTCATTTTATGGATATACCAGCAGTGACTTGTTAGGGCACCAGCACCCCACAGGCCCTGGGGAATGGGAGGGACCACACTTCTGGAAAGGCTGGATGGGAAGGAGAGGGTAGGACTGTAAGAAGGGGCGCTAAGGAGCGCTGGAGAGGAGTGATCAGGCCCCAACACAGTGAGGTCCTAAATCTGGCCCCGAGCTTAGCCTAGGTGTGAGCGGACCAGGGACTACAGGGCTTTTCAAAGGACTCTGCTCAGAAAATAAATCACCGAGTTCCTGAGACCACATATACTTTTCAACAAGGGAGAGGACATTTTTACCCCTAGACCAAGTCACCATGCCCTCTGCTCTGCTCTGCCTCTCCATGCTGGCCTGCCCTCTGAAGGGTCAATGCCGTCTTTGCTTCACACTGCTTCACTCCAGTCACAGCCACAGCCTCAGCTTGCTTCTTGTATTGTGCGAGTCATCACCCTCCCTTTCAGAAGAGGAAGCTGAATCTCAGGGAAAGTAGTGACGTGCTGCCCCAAGTAGTGACGTGCTGTCTCAGTTCTGGCATGGGCCAGTCAAACCCGGGACTGCATGGTGTATGCCCTTTGCACAAAGGCAATATCCTGCATGGGGGAGGGGAGCCTGCCATGCTGATATTCCCGTGGCACTGGGCCGGGGTCGGGGCCTGCTGGAGTGTTTCATGCTGTCTTTCTTGGCAGTGGAATCTGGTGTGTGAAGATGACTGGAGGACGCCCCTCACCACTTCCCTGTTCTTCGTAGGCGTGCTCCTCGGCTCCTTCGTGTCCGGGCAACTGTCAGACAGGTAAGGGTCCTGGGAGGGATGAAATATGGGATGGGGCCCCTGTCGATTCACATATACTCATTTCAGGGTACTGAGTCAGTGATAGGAGCTATGATGCCTCCGATTCACCCTGCCCTCAGTACCCCTCACATGGACCTACTTTTGTTCCATTCTCCCAGCCTTGTACTCCCAAGGCTTTGGCCAGTGGTTGGGAGGGGCCACTGACCCCACTGGAGAGTGGAGTCTTCATACCACAAACCCCTTGACAAAACATGATGCAGCCATCACCACTGCCCTCCCCACCTCACCCTCAACTCAGGGGCAAAGGGTCTATGCCATGTGATCTGTCCATAAACAGCCAGGAGCCAGAGTTAGACCAGGCAGGGAGCAATAACTGTGTACTCACTGCTCCTGGAGCTTGGGCTCCTGACTGGGCACTGGGGCCACAGAGCTAATGCAGGCTGGCTTGGGGCCTCATGGAGCTCACAGGCTGGGGAAGACAACGTCACAGCATCAAGAGACATGTTCCACAGGATCCTGAATGTTCTGAGATGACCAGAGCAGGAAGGTAAAAGTGCTAAATGGCAGTGTTGGGGAAAGCTTCCCAGAGGAGTGCCTGTCCCTCCCCCAGCTACAAAGCCCAACAGGACCCCAAGCCAACAGCCTGAGACCTGAGCTTGAAAAATGGGATGGGAGACTGTTCTATGTATACCTGTGCTCCATTCTACCCATTGATCACTACCAGAATGTGAAATTAACACTGAAACTAACTACAGTGTCACCAACAGACATTGCTGAAACCTATATCTTCCTATGAGCAGTGGTTTGCAATTTTGGTTGCACCCTAGACTCATGTGGGAAATTTAAAAATCCCAGTCTCCAAACTGCATCCCAAACAAATGAGAATATCTGAAGGTAGGGTGATGGCATCAGTATTTTTTTCAAGTTCTCCAGAGCAGCTATAGAAGGACTCTTAGTTCTGGATTTATAGAATTCCCCTGCTGCTGATTTAAGAAATATCTGCTATCTGTGCAGTACCCACTTTCCAAATATGTGGCAGCTTCTAACTCTGTGGCTCCTTCTAAAGAGCAGATTTCCACCCAATCCTTGCATATGCTGTTCTGTGCTTTCGAGGTTACTGTCTCCACAGGAAGTTAGAACCTCAGAAGTTATCTCCTAAGCAGACAGGTGGCTGAGGCCTCACCAAGGAGGAAGCTGGAAGGATGTGATGGGGAGAAAAGTCTGAAAGAGCCCTGAAAACAAACAAACAGGGTAACTCCCTAGGTCCCCTCCCATTGTGGGAGATTTTCTGTCCTCTCAATAAATTCTGCTTTCTAAAAAACAAACAAAAACAAAAAACCCTAGGTCTACACTGATGTCTGACTCAGGGTTTGCAGCACACCTTGAGTTACAGCCTTGCTGTAACCTGCGCATCTCATGTTTTGTGTTACGCTATATTTTATAGGTTTGGCAGGAAGAACATTCTCTTCGCAACCATGGCTGTGCAGACTGGCTTCAGTTTCCTGCAGATTTTCTCCATCAACTGGGAGATGTTCACTGTGTTATTTGTCATCGTGGGCATGGGCCAGATCTCCAACTATGTGGTAGCCTTCATACTAGGTAGGAACGGCTTCTGAGGCACAGGCTTCCTCTCCTTACCCTCCGAACGGTCAGGAAAGAGGAAGCCACTGGGCTGTGCTTCCAAAGTTGATTGGCCTCAAATATTTGTGTTGGAGGAGGGAGCTATAACCACAGGCTGTTTGGACTTGTCATGGACAGGGCGGGCACTCACAGGGAGCATCTCTGTGCTGGGCCCTGAAGTGTGATGGAAAATAAGAGCTGGAACTGGTAAAAACCACAGCACAACAACTGAGACACACTCTCAGGAGTACGGACTTGAGAGAAGCACAGAGGAGATCTTGAGGGAGGCCTGGGGATGTCTTTGCCTGAGCAGTTAAAGTTTAGGGCTTCTTCCTGGTGGCCTATGAAGCGACTTAGAAGAGCAGTTGGTGTGGCCAGTACACAGGCAGAGGAAGCACATGCCAGACAGGGGGATTTCGGCACCAGCCCGCCATCTCTGGCTGATCAACCTGAGTCACAGCCCACCACCAGAGCATATCAGCCAAGCACAGAACAAGCCTCGCTGCGCTGATAATAGTCCTGTCTCCTATCAGGCTGCATGAGAGAGTCTCATCAGCTACAAGGCCACAAGGAGGCCCTTGGGGCCCCCAGCAGCTGCTCCTGGGAGGAAGTGAGGTGAGCTCCAGGCAAGTTGATCAGGGTCATCTGAGGAGTGAGTCCCCAGGCATTCTGTGAGCCCACCAAATGGGCAGGTGAGAGAAGGTGAGACGAGGGGAACCTCTGAGACAGAAGTCACTAGTTCTCATAATCTCTAGTGTGAGAATATATTCTAATTGTCTCAACACCATTCAGTTTATCCCTATTGTCACAGTGTAATTATTAATAATTCCCCTTTATATAGGTGTAATGATTCTTCCTGTCTCAAAAGTCTGAACCTGGTTAGGTGATGCTGATTGCTTTAAAGAGTCTAAGTGACTCTTTGGCTTTGGAGATGCTCTTAATTGAAAATGTGTATACCCTCTGTCAGGATGCCAGGACTGAATTGTTCAAATTCCACTCCTTTAATTATTTGTGAAGAGCCATGGTCCCAGCCTTGGTGTCTGAAAAGGGGAGGAGGGAGAAGAGGAGGTGGGAAGAGCATGCTGAGGCCACATGGTTCAGCAGATAACACACTCTTCAGCAGGCCCCAGGAGGAGGGGGCTTCTCTCCTCTCTGTAGGGAGAAGGAAGAGGGCAAGATCTCCTTGAAGATCATTTATGTAGAGGGCACAGGGAGCTTCAGGCCTGTGGTGCTGAAAACTGAGATTGAAGGAATTTAAGACAGAAACTGCAATCTCCTAGTACCCTATGGCCCCAAGAACACAGGAGTCTTGCACACAGCAAAGCTCAAGTCCCCAGAATCCACCTTCCCTATACTTGAAAAGTCTGACATGTGACTCTGCTTGCCAGACTCACACCAAAAACCAATAGACCTCCCTAAAACAGAGGAGTCTGCCCAAGGCTGGCAGACCCATATCACAGGAGGACCTGAAGATCCGTCTGGAATGGAAGGACAAGGAGTCACGGTGAAGCCAGAGAAGCTCTATCATGGATTGGGAGCAAGGTGGGAGTGTACCAGGCAATGGTATCTCCAGGTTTGATAGAATGGCCAGCATTGGTGCTTTCTGGGGCCTTGATGCCTTCCCTATGTGAGCAGAGGAGGCCAGGAGAGCACACCCCAGGCTTCCTGCAGGAAAAACCTGCTCTAGTGACCCTGACACTACTATCTACTTCCCTCACAGCTCCCCGTGCATATTGTGGTACACATACAGGGCTGAGAAGGGGAAGAGGGTTAAGGGAAAAGTAAGGCCATGAAGATCAGTCAGAGCCCAACTATGTTAAGCCAGTATCAGTAGGCAGGATGCTGGGTACAGCAGACTCACTATCAGCCAGGGTCCAGGGTGCTCACAGCTATCAGCCTGGGTCAATGCTCTAGGAGCTTCTCAGACTGTAGTTCTCTTCTACTCTGCTCCGCAGGAAATTGCTCACTTTTGTGTCCTGGTATGAGACTTGCTGTGTTGGATTCTCAGGTCTGAAATTTGAGTGCCACTGAAAACCAATCTGCCCCAGAGTAACTGGACTCCCCAATCAGTACCCGGGTTCGGGGGACACAGTGCAAGGACAAAGTGGCCACTGGCTTCTCTGCAGTGCAGCAGCGCTCTCTGGTGTTTCAGGGCTAAAATAGCCAAATTCCAGGCTTTCTTTGACTCAAAACCAAAGGGTGGGGTCTGAGCTGAAATTTTCTGTAGATGCCTCCACTTTTGCCCTCTGGCTCTAAGGAAGGGCTGGCAAGGCTCTGCAGTGATAATTCCAGTCTTAGGAGTCTTCACATTAATTCGGGAAGAAAAATGACTTCCAGTGCAGAAATGGATCCTATTCTTGCACTGCTTTTAAAAAATTATCAAGACTTCCAGAATTCATAGGAGGCTAGAAAAAGAAGAGAAAGAGCAGTGCTACCCAAAGTAGCATATGGTGGACACACCCGGAGGTGATGGCACTGCCAAAATGGTGCCGGTTTAGGAGGAAATGATCAAAAAATGGTCCACATGCAGGGCTGAGAAGGGGAAGAGGGCCAAGGGAAGAGTAAGGCCATGGAAGATCAGTCAGAGCCCAACTATGTTATGCCAGTAATCAGTAGGCAGGATGCTGGGTACAGCAGACTCACTATCAGCCAGGGTCCAGGGTGCTCACGGCTAGTGACCGGTGTCTAGTGACCAAGGACACTGACCCTTCTCATTCTCCAGCTCCCCTCATGAACTCCTTCTGTTTCCCAGAAATAATGCCCGCAAGTTGTCCATAGCCTTCTGGATAAAATGCCAGCGGCATCCTCTTTTATCCCACACAACCAGCTGCTTAAATGTATTCTGCACAAAAGGTAAACTGCCTTCTGTCTTGACTGATTCATTAAGTCAGTATTTTTCAGTACTCCTAACATCAATCCTCCCCCAACCATGCAACATTTCTTTGGGCATGCAGAACAATTCATTTAAAGCTTTGCTTCCTCAAATGTCTATATGTTCCTTCTTTTGATAAGAATGTAACTGATGGCACTTTCATTTGAAACTTTAGCTACCGGGAAGCTCAGGCAAATTTGAAATTTAACCATATTAATTATACAGCTTTTACCAGCCACATATTCTTAAAATGTTTTAAATTGAAGTATAATTTTATCTTAGTCTGCTTGGGATACCATATTAAAATACCATAGACTGGGTGGCTTAAACAACAGAAATGTATTTTTCCACAGTTCTGGGGAGTGGAAGTCCAAGATCAAAGTGCCAGCAGGATGGTGTCTGGTGAGGGCTCTCCCCTCGGGTTGCAGATGTCTGCCTTCTCCCTTTGTGCTCACATGGTCTTCCTCTGTGCAAGCGCATAGGGAGAGAGAGAAAGAACACTCACTCTCTGGTGTCTCATCTTATAAGGATGCTAATACTATCAGATTGGGACCCCATCTTTATGACCTCATTTAACATCAATTACTTTCCTACTCCAAATACAGCCGCACTGGGGGTTTGAGCTCCAATATATGAACAATATGGGGATTAGTAGTGCTTAATTCAGCCCATAACAAATTTGCATGCCATGATCCTCACTCTTTTAGAGTGTACAATTTGGTGGTTTTTAACGTATTCACAAAGTTGTACAACTATCAACTCTAACTCCTCATCACTCAAGAAAGAAACCATATAGCCATTCACGGTCACTTTCCTCTTTCCCTAGTTCCTGGCAACCACTAATCTACTTTCTGTCTCAAATGAACTTGCCTGTTTTGGACATTTGATATAAATAGGGTCATGTGATATGTGGCCTTTGTGACTGACTTCCTTCACTTGATGTTTTGTAGCATAAATCAGTATTCCATTGTACTAATACAACCCATTTTGCTTACCCGTTCATCAGTCATTGGACATCTACTATGCTTTTACTTTGGGGCTATTATGAATAATGCTATGAACATTTGAGAATAGGTGTTTTTGTGGACATATGTTTTCAATTATCTTGGGTCTATGCCTAGGAGTGAAATTGCTGGATCATATGATGACTCTATGTTCAACCTTTTGAGGAACTGCCAAATGGTTTTCAAACTGATCAGCAGCATATTTTTGTTCTTTTCTCTAAGGCACAGCTTTTTGTTTTTCTTTATGCTTTACTTTAATGCTACCATTATTGTATTTAAATTAAAATCAGCCTCATAATCTTCCAGGGATGGGTTGGGGTGTGAGTACATAAACATGATGCAGAAATTTGCTGGTATTCCTTGTTTGCATCACACTATGTGAGGGAGGAACTAGGGGTATCCAGGGAGGAGCAAGGTCTCCCTCCCATCTGTTCACAAGGAGCTCACTGTCTGGTTCTGCAGAGGCAGTCAATGCAGTTGCCACTGTGGGCGTGGGGACATGGGTCATGGGGGTGGGCAGATATTGCTGGGTATATGTAGAGATAAGAAAAGTTACTTTTGACTGGAGTGATCCGTGAAGGTTTATAGAAGAGAGAAGGGAAGCGTTAGAGGGAACATCTATTAATTTGGTGAGCATTCTGAACATTTACTGGGAAGGAGAAAGTTTCTGCTGTCTTTGATTTAGCCTTTTGGTCCAAGGTACTGTGCTTTCTCTCATGTGCCCCTGACACGTAGTGCACTTCAACTACGTGACCAGAATAAAGAAATAACTATTACTGAGAACCTACCATGTAGCCAACACCCTCCTAGGGACTTTACATACATTGCTCAGTCCTCATAATAATATCACCATAAAGTCGGGCTTATCAAAGTTACTCTAGTAGCAAGTAGCATCAAGGAGCCCAGGCTGTCTCCACATGCTTGATGGAGGTCCCACCCCAAGTCCCAACAGCTGCATCACAGTCTGGTTTCCTGAGCTGAGGTCTGCTACAGGTCTCTGTTGGCCACTCATGGGGGGACACATCCTGCCTTGGGTGAGATAGGCCCAGGGGTTCCTAGGGCTGGCTACCACAGAAGTGCTCTGAGCTGTGTGGAAGGGAGCTTGGTCCTTTCTGCATCATTTCTTCTTGGAGAGAGTGTTCACATTCAGTAGAGGTACCAGGCAGTGGGCAACACTTCTGGGGCTATTCTGGCCCTTGTCCTGGCCAGAACATATCCCTTTGGCTTAGATGTCAAAGTTTTACTCCCGGGAGATATTGAGAGGCCCAATCAGACCAAGACCAACCAGGCTTCACTCTAAGAGCAAAGGAGACATAGGGGGCCAGGACAGGGTCCCCAGTCAGCAGAGCCAAGAGTCACTGCAGTCATCTGTCTCACTGCCATATGGAAAATCTGTGGAAGCTACAGGCCATAAAAGATCTGCAAGAATCAGGCTTCTCTCCTAGTCTTCCTTAGAGGGAACTGGTTGGCCTCCAGCTGATGGGATGACCAGCCCAGGAAGGAAAAATGCAAATCCTCACTTCTGATGTGGGATTTGGCCTCACCTATCTCCCCTCATTTTTCCACTGGAATCTCAGTTGAAGAACTGCTTCATAGGGCCAAAGTTTCACCCAGGCGATTTTTTTCTTAGAGGCTGGACCAATATCCACAGATCAAACAAATCAGGCTTAAATCCTGTACCACTTATATTACACGCATGAATTTGGGCAATTGGTTTTATCTCTTTAAGTTTCAGCTAATTATGTGCAAAATAAGAGTAATATTAGCTTTTAATATAATTGTTGTGAAGAGTCAAAGAGATAATATATGTAAACACTTAGCCTGGGATTTGCCTCAAAATACCTGCTCAAAAAAAAATGCTAGCTGTGAAGAGGATGATGGTGATCAAGTTTAAGGAAGGGTGAAAAGTCAGAAAGCAGAAAATAGTGCTAACAAGGAATTATTTAGGTTAGTATTAATACCATCTACGCTGTCCACAGGAAGGCAGGGAAGCACATTTACAAACTTCGGTCTCCCATGTGCACTCTGCAAAGTCATAAAAACTCTACTCTGGTCTGATACCCAAGTTTAGAGAAGGGGATTATTCAGAACCCCAGTGGTATAACTTCTCTCCCTTCTCTTATCAAAGTCATGAAGGTATGAGGGAACGGGTCTGCCCTGGCAATTCTATGAGAGTCTCACTTGATCCTGTGCACTTTCTCTTTCCCACAATCAAATCCTCTGCTGCTTTACTCTGCTTAGGAATAAAGCACCCCCTATTCATTTCCATATCATAGTCACAGCCAAAGGGTTTAGAAACCAGGTCATGGTAGAAAGGTCATTAAGGAGGTAATAAAAGATCTGGAAATCATACACATGATCCTCAAAGAAGTCAGGCCCTATTCTTGGAGAAATATTTACAGACTGAGAAATGCCCTGTGTGGGTAGGGCTATTATCAGCATTATGAGATGCAGGAGGCACCTAGTATTGGCCATTTCTGTCGGTTGGCTTTTTTAAATGGCCACTCAAGAGGGACCCACTGACACAGATCTCTCAGTTCTGATGAGTGAGGGAGAATGAGTAGGGTGGGATGGGAACAGGTAGGTGGTGGGAATGAGAAACCAGCTGAAGTAATAATTTTGCTGCTTCTCTGGAATTAATCCATTAGCCTGTGTTCAGAGCACATAAACATGACCAAGAAAACCTCTCTGAAAAGCCAAGCATGAATGACCTTTGAATTATCTGTTTGGTATTTTCTGGGCTGCTTCTTCTCTGTAGTGTGAGCAGATCCCAAACAAAAGGTGGAACTGCTGCCATTGGCCAGATCTCTGCCCCAGGGGCAGAGGACCAAGCGTGGACTCTGTGGAAAGGATCTGGAGCTCTGTGATAAGATGAGGAGCTTTGTTCTTGGATCTCTGTCTCCAAAGGGCAGGCGACAGCTCTGGAAGAACTGGTGCCGAGTGATTCACTGTGGTGCTGAGCAGAGCAGAGGCCAACAGTAGCCTGCATGACCTTTCACAAAACAGTGCCTGCACCAAGCATTCATGGGCCTTTTCTGAGCTCTGTGGAGTTCATGGGCTGTGTGGCCAGCGCCAAGGCTGCTGACTGCAGGGGCAGCAGAACAGCTCCTGGCTTTCTTTCCTTGGTCCAAATGGACTGTCTACCTGGGGATGATCCCTGGGCACAGCATGGCTGGAGAGAACTCATCCTGAGTGCTGGGGGCCTGTTCTGTGTAACCCCTGAGCCAGTTGGCTCCTGTTTTTCATTTCTCAGGGCTCAAGCATGGGTAAGGATGTCCTAACATCTCAAAACGGAACTCTCCACTGTTTTCCAGTGGGCCAGTGTCGGTTTATTTATAGTTAAGTGTTACGGGAAAGTCCCCACACAGCCCCACTGAAGAGCCACCACTGTCTCCTGCTTCTTACATTGGGGCTCTTATTTTGGAAATGTGGCATTCTCAGAAGAGATTGCCTCTAGGGACTACTTGTGATATTTCTATGCCATGGGATGGGCTTTTAAAAAAAATAAATGTATTGCTCCTTTAAAAATCTCATGAAAACACAGCCTCCTGTAAGTTGACAAGTCTTAGATCACTTCCCACCTTCCTCTACCCTGACCACTCCTGCTCTGGGCTGAGAAGCAAATGCCTTTTCCTTTTTCTAAGTCGTTATAGTTTGGGCTCTAACTGCCACATAATGATATAAAAAACAAATATTAAAGTGAGTTAAATGCTAATACTCCTCCCTTGTTTTGAACAGGAACAGAAATTCTTGGCAAGTCAGTTCGTATTATATTCTCTACGTTAGGAGTGTGCACATTTTTTGCAGTTGGCTATATGCTGCTGCCACTGTTTGCTTACTTCATCAGAGACTGGCGGATGCTGCTGCTGGCGCTGACGGTGCCGGGGGTGCTGTGTGTCCCGTTGTGGTGGTGAGTGCGACTCGTTCCCAGACAGGCCCTCTGCTGCAGGCCGGCATACCTGGAGCACACCTGGAGCCTGGTGCTGATAGAGCCTGGGCTTGCATAACCTCCACTGAACTTGCTGCGGCCAGCTTCAAAGCCGGGGAGTTTTGGCCTCATTGTGGGTGGACCTGTGTGCTGGGGTTTGATTTTCCACTGTCTTACAAATCACTGTTAGCAGGAATTCCAATCCCTTTCTAGACTCTCCCCACTCTTATCTGTTGCTGGTGGCTGTTGTTTATGGAGATGGTGGTGTTGGGTTTTGTTGTTTTTAACTCTGCTCTCTGCTTTTTTTACTTTTTTCTCTCTACAAAATCTCTCTCTGCTCACTAATATAATTCCTCAAGCTTCCCTCTCGTGTGATGATCCGCATCTACTGTGTACCTATTTGTTGGCTATGTTTTGAAGAGTGAGAGAATTACTTTTTGTTTAATGAGTTGTTAGAGAAGCATTCTCTTCCCTCCTCTCACAAACTCCCAACTCAGTTTTGACACAACAGTTATGGGAATAACAAAGTGTGGAGATTCTGGCCTCAGTCTTACCCAATATGATTATTTCGGGTGAAACAACAGCAGAATAAAGGACTAAGAATAACAGAATAAGGTCTCAGCCATACTCTCTTTTTTGGGATTTCCCATTTATTTGCTTTTGCATATTTAAGCAAGAAGAAAGAGATTTCTTCCATTGGTGGGTCTGGTGTTTCTCTCTCTCTCTCTCTCTCTCCTCTCTCTCTCTCTCTCTCTCTCTCCTCTCTCTCTCTCTCTCTCTCTCTCTCTCTCTCTCTCTCTTATTCCTCTTGATTTGGTTTTATTATATCAAAATCAAATCTTCCAGCACTAATTGTTTTACTGAACTAAATGATTTCTACCAGCTTATACATAATACAAGATTCTTGATCTTTTTTTGGAAATTACAATTTAGACTAGATCTCATAGTTACTTTGTCCTTGGGACACACCCTACCTAGGAAGTTGTCTAGAAGGTCCTTTATTTTTCTGCAGCTAATAGGCAGCTGTAAAGGTTGACAGGTAGTCTATCTTGGCCATGTCTGACCAGACGGCTCAGGTGAACCACTCGAAGCCACTGTCTTCTGATGACCTCTAAGAATGCTATGATTTATCAGTATAAATTCTTGTCATGAGGTCTGCAGGTGGAGGGAGGAGCACTTTTTTTCCCCCTATGTTCCTGGAATTTGAAAGCCAGTTGGTTAAAGATTATATATTATTCTGATTAGGAAGATTCCTCTGGAACCCAGTCTGAGGGTCAGTAAATAAGGGCAGACCATGATCTACAAAGCTCTGCCTCCAAAGAAAGCACCCCAGATTTAGAAGAGCAGAGCAGCTGCTGATGAGAGTAATTATCATTATCATCATCTGTCTCTCTCTCTCTGCAATTCCCTTGCTCACTAAATTTATTGCAAAGGATGCTGATGACTAGGGGTTCTCTCAAGATACAAGATTATTTGAAATTATTTTCTGCCTCTTCAGAGGAATGGTTTTAATAACCTATGTTCCTGGCTCTAGTTGTTATTTTGGCCTAAGAGACCAGTACTTTCACATGCATTACAATCAATCTTATTAGTGCATGATTCTTTCAGAGAGAGAATAACAACAGAAGGGCTCTAATGGACCGTGCAGAGATTAGTAGGGATTGGATCTGTGCCTCAGGATCATGTATCACAGTGAGGGACTAGCTCTGATTGGTCAGATCCCCAGAAATTCCAGCAGAGAAGGTTTATCCCACAAGAAGCTTCCCCACTCTGCCCTTCTGTTGTCCGTGGGCTGGTTTGCGAATGTTCCCGGTTGTGGTCACACTGTACCAGGGACAGGTCTTGCCCCAGACAGAGGACAACCCAAAGCCAGCATTAACAAGCTGAGTACTCATCCTGAAGTTTAACAGTGCTCTTATCATTTTCCTACAAAAACAAAATAGCTTTCTTCTGAACATCTTGTCCTTGGGGCTTCCTGAAGCAATACTCACCAGTCTAGTGGATCAGGTGGATGGGAGGATGCTTAGAGCTGCTGTGCACCCTGCCTGCTCAGGATGTGACAGACTTTCCAGCAACACCCCACCTCTGTCTAATACGAATTAAATATACAGATACTATGGTGTACAGCCTCATTTGACACTCCACTAACTTTTGAAATGATCACCTGGACTTGAGATTGTATGCACCAACAAATCAAGGCAATTCAAAAGTAGAGATCCCAGTACCCCTGAGTACAGTGGGCTGGAAATGGGAGAGGAACCTACACAGGTGGTTTGGGGATTGTTTATGTCCCGTTTCCTTTAAAAGGCTTGGCAATAAGCAGCCACAGGTGTGAATGGAGTATGTATGTAGGGGGGGGGATAAGGCGTATGGAAGGAGATCGAAGATGCAATGTGGAGAAAGCTCTGCAATTTCTAACTGATTAAACATTAAACGTAGGAGGCCAATGATGGCCCTCAGAACCTGTAGAAAGGTAGGATATTTCTAAGCATAAACTGGTTGCAGAAAGAAATTGTTCAGAAGTAGGTATACCCATGAAGTACATAGTGCCTGCTTAGTAAGATCTCTAATTCTGCACTCTAATACAGTTAGCCATAGCCACATGTGGCTATTTAAATTAATATTAATTAAAAGTCAATATAATTAAATTTTCACTTCTTCAGTCATTCTAGCTCATTAGCCACATGTGGTTAGTGGCTATTGATTGGACAGCACAGACATACAATGTTTCAGAAGCTTTTATTGGACAGCACAACCCTAATTACTGAAGATCAGTGACCTAACTTTATCACAGGTCCTATAGGAACTAACTAAAGGCATATTCTGAAAAATGCCAACTGGGCTCCTTTTTCAACTTGTGCTAGGAAGCTGGGGTTAGTCATTTGTTTTACTTTAGGTTAATTCCTAATGTGGCTTTGGGGCCTATTAACTATAGGAGGACTCTGTATCTGCTACTGGTAACTTATTTTCTAGGTAACTAAGTACAGATGCTCCTCTACTACAGTGGTGTTTCAGCCTGATAAACCCAACATAATCTGAAAATATTGTAAGTCAATATACCTGACCTACCAAACATCATAGGTAGCCTAACCTATCTTAAATATGCTCAGAATACTTTCATTAGCCTCCAGTTGGGCAAGATCATCTAACACAAAACCCCTTTTATAATAAAGTGTTGACTATCTCATGTAATTTATAAAATACTGTACTGAAGGTGAAAAACAGAATGGTTGCATGGGCACTCAAAGCATAGTTTCTACTGAACATGCATGGTTTTCATACCACCATAAAGTTGAAAAATCATAAGTCAAGCCATGATAGATTGGAGACAGTCTGTACTGACAAGTAAGGAAAACAAGATCTGACAGGCAAATGGCTAAGAGATTCTGAAAATACAATTTAGGAAAGAATAGAAGTCCTATTATTTGCAACTGTATTTGAGGTATCCATTATAAATGTGAATAGACCATGTAATTTTAAAATTATGTTTTTAGACATTAAACAAAACAAAACATTAAAGCTGATCTCCCAAAAACTGGTTTAGGGACTCACTGACCTAGAAATCTTTTCAAAGTCATGGGGACATCTCACCGGTACATATCACCTTCACCTTGTCCTTTGACTATAGAAAAAGCTCAAGAATGTAGGTGCTCTGGCCATCCTTCACCCAATATACTTGTGAACAACACTAGCTGGGCACCAGGAATTCTCCTATGGGTGGTAATGCTGAAAAGACAGTCTGACCTCTTAGGGGACTTAGAGTCTATTGGCAGTGTTTCTTTTGTGATCCACACGGGCTATTAAGTTTTGGATAGCCACCTCCAGCTCCCCTGGCTTAAACACATCCTTAATGTCACCCCTTACTGTGTGGTCTTCGTCTCAAACACAAGTGATGATTAGTCTTATAATTTGATCAGAAAGCCGGGCTCGGTGGCTCAGCCTGTAATCCCGCGCCTTTGGGAGGATGAAGTGAGTGGATTGCCTGAGCCTGTGGGTTCGAGACCCGCCTGGGCAGCGAGACCTCATCTCTACAATAAATAAAAAAATCAGCCGGGCATGGTAGCGTATGCCTGTAATTCTGGCTACTCGGAAGGCTGAGGTGGAAGGATTGCCGGAGCCCAGCAGGCAAGGCTGCGGTGGCCAGGAGTGGCCACTGCACTCCAATCTGGGCAACAGAGTGAGACTCCAACTCAAAAAATAAATAAATAAATAAAAAATAATTTGATCAGAAGTTTGAAACTTGAAGGTGCTTTTATTTATTCCTGTGCTGCAAAATAAATATTATAAGGACTCCTTCTCAATTGTCTTTAAAAAGACAAAGTAGAATTTTACAAAATTAAAATCATCTGGGGGCAACTTATAGTTAATAGTGTCCAAACCTGTTGTTGTGAAAAATTATAAACTATTAAAAATGAATTCTAGGTTTATTCCTGAATCTCCCCGGTGGCTGATATCCCAGCGAAGATTTCAAGAGGCTGAAGATATCATTCAAAAAGCTGCAAAAATGAACAACATAGCTGTACCAGCAGTGATATTTGATCATGTAGAGGTAAGCATTTGCAGATGTTTCCTGTTGGGATCAGCTATGCAATCTTGATTTTATGGAATTTAAATTAATTCAATATTTGTTAAGAGTCCATTACGTACCGGCACTGTACTAGGCCTTAGAAACACAATCACGATTAATTTCTAAAACAAAATCTACCTTAAAGGACTGTTTAAGAATTAAGTATAATAATATATGTAATTGCTTAGCAATAGTAAGTGTTCATTAAATATTAATTCCTTCATTTTGCAAGTTTTCATTTTCCAACTTTTTATTGGCATTTCTTCAAACCATTGACACAGCTGAGTACTAATGATTTTTAAATGTCCAGATTGAGTGGAAAAATGCGTTTGAGAGCTAGTCTGGTCTAGGTTCCCCCAGAGTACCCTGAATCTTACCAAAGGCTGCAGAGGAAGCTGTGCATTTCCTTAGTCTTGCTATGTGTTATATCTAGAACCTTAAGGTCTGAGAGAATAGACTTGAGAATTCGTTCCTGAAAGCAGGTGGCTGTGAAGAAAAACGGATTTTCTACAGAAGCACCCACACGCCCTGACAGTGTGCCATACCCTGTGCCGTTTCCTAGAGGAAATAAGAAAATAAGACACAGCCCCTATGCTAAAGGAGCATAGAATGTAACTAAGAGGGGCCAGAAGATTGTATGAAAAGATAAATAATAACATAAAGGAGGAAATTCTAAGTAGCATGTTACTACGTGCTAAGTCCACTCCCAAGGAGTGGACACTATGTGACAACAATACAGAGACAGAGAGGGTGGCCCAATGGCTGAAGAGGCAGGTCTAAGCCAGGGAGAACAGTAGGATTTACTTAGATGAATGAAGAGGATGGAGCAGAGTATTTCTGGCTAGGAGAAGGGCAGGGGACTTCCCAGGACACCCAAAGAAGACTATGGTGGCTTCAGTGGCAGTACACATGCTTTGCACAAAAAGACACTACAGGCTACTTTTGAAAGCAGGACTCTGTGGAAGACAGTGTCCAGTGCTCACCCTGAGGGCTTCCTTCAGCCCTGGCCTTCAGATCTTTTCCAGAAGCAGATACTCTGGCTATGGCTAGAGGTTTGTGGTGGTCATGAACCCAGACTCTCAGAGGGCTACCAAGGGAAAATAAATCCTTTGAACAGGAAATCAGGAAGTCCATTCCCAGTCTTAGTTTAGCTGGATGAAAAGATAACATTGGGAGTGTCTCACACACTTTGGTCTTTCAGAGCTGGGTGTTTATTGGTATTTATTGGATATGTGGCCTAATTCCTATCAGATCAACCTATATGGATGAAAAAAATCGTAATATAGATAAAACATACGTTATGGACAAATGAGAATAAAGTCCAGTGTAAAGTCACATGCTTCTTACAGCATCTTGTTTCTTCCTGCCATGATGCACATCTAGTCTGAACTGGACAAACCCACTGAGGGAAAGGGAGCTCATGCTTTCCTGAGGCCCAATCATCTCTCCTGCTCATCTCTCTGGTAGGATCCTTTTTAGGAGGATCTGCAGGACCCTGTGCCAGCAAATGCAGCCTGTTCAGAATGATAGTGGAAGAGCCTACCAGATGCCAGGCACTGTGTTCTACTCATTTAATGCTCATGCTACCCATAGCTCATAGCCACAGTAGTAGGTACTACTCTTAGCCCCATTTTTCAGGAAAGGAAACTGAGGCACAGAGGAGTTAAGTGACTTGTCCAGGATCACACAGATGTTAAGCTAGGATTTGTTAAGTTCGTTCTCTCTGGTGCCAAAGTGTGTGTTTTAAACACTGTGCTTTCTTCCTTCATGTTAGAGGCATCGGTAGTAACTTGAACAGGAAAAAATATACAGTAGTGTCATCCTTGGCTTCTGAAGAAGGCCCTTCAACTTGCTCCTAGTACCTGATCCAAAAACATTTTGGTGGTTCTACCCAGGCTAGGGGCAATCACTGGATACAAGAATATGCCTGTCCTGAGGTTTCCAAACCTCACTGCTTATCACAATCACTCAAGTGCTTTAAGAATACAGATCCCCAGGCCCAGACCCCATGAAAGAGTCAGTGTAAACAGGCCCAAGGTGGAACCTGGCAATCTGCATTTTAACAAGGGCCCTTGGAAGCACTAAATGTTAGCGCCATAGGTCCTGTCTGTGTTTGCCACCCCAGAACCTCCAAGAGGACTTGTAGTTCCCACTTGTTTATGCAGTGGCTTTGTTTTGTTGTAATAATATGGTTATATTGCCAGGGGTATGTTCTGGAGCTATACACTCCAAAGAGTGCAGGAAAGAAAAGGCAACACGACTGTGAGTTATTTAAGTAAGTGTCTCATTATGCCTGGAAAGAAGAGCAGTCACATCTGGGGAGCACCTGCTCCAAAGGCAGGCCTGGCACTCTCGCTTCTTCCTCCATGAGACTCTTACTGCACAGGCACCATACGGCTCCTTTAATCCCAAGAGATTCTCCACCTCAGAGTCTAATAATTTTTATGTTAGTTTCAACTGTAGTCAATTTGGTTATCTAGGTTCATAACCCATAGCAAGTTAACATCAGCAAATTAAAAGTAAGGAGTAAAACCCACTGACAGTGGTGAAGAAATTGCCACTGACCACTGATGGCTAACATCTTTTCCTCAATGATGCAGTAATAACAATGATAGTTCAAGCTTATTGGGCATTCACCATGGTTCAAACACTTTATAAGCTTTATATATGTGATTTCATTAATCTTATCAATTCCCCATTAATATAGCCATTTTATAAAGAAATAAACTCTATAGTTTAGAGAGGATAAACAGTAACTTCCCCAAGGCCTCCCAGTTAACTGGAGTATGTTCTGATGCTAAGAGACAACAAGAAAGGTATAAAAATCAGACAGGGCCTCAAGGCAGTTTGAGACTACATGGCCCTACTCCTCAATAGGTCACACAGATCAGTGTAATAAAGGTCATCCTTGGTGATGTCTGTGGTCAGGGAAAGGCTATTTATCCATCAGGCTTTGTATAAGGATATAGCTGGTGTTATATATGTAAAAGCCTTCTGCCTAAGATGGGTAATAAACATTTTAAAGTGTCAGAAGACGCAACATACATGTAGATAGATGTCTTTGTTGTCCCCAAGTTCCAGACTTCTAATCATATTCAAGGTGAAGTGAGAGTTGCTTGCACAAATTTTCCCCATGCATCATGGCAGAAGATACAGGGGAGGGAGGGACCTGAAGCACCCAGTATATATTTATAAAAATTGTATATTTATTGTACATGTTTAAACTTCAGTCACCTTCGAAGTACTCTCCATTTGCTTTTCCTGTTCCTCAAAACAGTTTTGGAACTTGTCAGTTTTGTAGGCTTTTAGTACTTGTGCCTTTTTGTTTACTTCACCTATTCCGCATCGGCATAATGTTACCCTTTGAGGACTTTTTTCATCTGGGGAAGCAAAACTAAGTCACTTGAATTGAGATCAGAGAGGGTGGAGCATGGGAGTCATCCCATTTGTGGTCAAAAACTGCTGAACACTCAGCGTGGTGTGGGCAGGTTGTTCGTGCAAATCACCCATTGTGAAAAGAGCAAATGATGAAAGAACCTCAAAAAAAATTCACTGAAACCAAACACAGCCTCTCACAATGCTAGCTTGTTCACTGATGCGGATAGGTTCCTAGAACACTGACTTAGTGGAGGAAGCCTGTACTACAAGAGGCGTGCCCTCCAAAAGATAATTCTGGGGTTTGTTTGGGTTTTTGGGGGTGGGGTTGTTTTTTGTTTTTTTGGTTTCCTCTCGTACTTTCTTACTACCTCTTAATCTAATGGTTATTTGCATTATTTTAGTTACAAGCTCTAGCCCCCATGAAGCAGCAGAAAGTTTTCATTCTGGACCTGTTCAAGACTCGGAATATTGCCACAATAACCATTATGTCTTTGCTGCTATGGTAAGCAATAAGAGATCTGGAAATACAGACATATAGCACATAAGCATGCAGCTAATTTTCTTTAATTCAGAGGAACATCATTGCAAGACCTGGGTTTTCCTGAGGCCTTGATAAAAACTAAAATTATAGAATTCAAAGTGATTTAGAAACACCTTAAAACTGTTCATGGGATTGGATACTGAAAAAAAGGGAACAATATTTAAGTCTGCAGTACTGAGATCAACAGGGAAAGGGATACCCCCATTACTGATGTCATAGGGAAAGGGTTCCCTCTCCTAAAATTATTGGATTAAGTCTAATGATGTCCCTAGTACCTGAGGCAGAGATGCCAATTGAGCTCCTGTTTCCTAAAGCTGAAATGACAATTGAACACTAAGGTTAGAACCTGGGTCTCCACTGCCTGGATTAGAGCTTTGACAAGCTCTTGCTTGCCATTAGCAAACTTGCCAATAGCAAACTAACAAGTGGTTTTAAAACACAGAAATAACGAATTGGCTTTGTAGACTAGATTTAAGTTGTATTTGCCGTGAAATGAGGAAGAAGAGAAAAGATGATCATCCGAACTGGTACTTTCAGACTGCATCAAGTCTATTTTTAGGGCCATCCTGTTTTGCAATTAGAAGAGATCAGTGACAGAGCTTATGCCTCTGAATTAAGCAAGTGTGTACTAGGCACATGGCCTTCTTAGTTCTTACATGTTAGCATATATAGCTGACACAAATGTTCTAGAGCAGTGAACTAGTTCTATCTAAGCTGCTCTTGTTATTAAATGTGAAAATCACTAAAATCCTAGAACAATAAGGTTTAATTATTTGTTGTGTTTTAGATTCATTCTTGTGTTACCCACTTTTGGCCCACTATGTGTAAAAAGATCTAATAGTGTTCCTGAAAACATTTTTCAGACTTCTTCTGCTTTTCAGTCATGTTAATTGTAAGCAAATTTCTACACAGGGGCATCTGTATAGTGCAGTCATTTTTTCAAGTTAAGTCTTTATGTAGAAGTTAACTATAATGACAGGATATGCAGTCTGCCCTTCATGATACTTTGAAGCATTAAGGGACTTTCACTCTTTTCCCTAAAGTGAGTTTTACTAAATCAGAATTTACTGTAAGTGGATCCCAGGGTATTACTCTTGTACCTTCTTTTCTTTTCTCAGAATGAAATCTGAATTTTATCATCTTTAATATGACTGACATTTTTTTCTTCAAATAACAGCTCTAAGAGAACGAGGATCTATAAACTATTCAGAAAATAATAAAATTTGGAATCAATTACCTGATAATAGGAATTGTTGAATATTGGTATATAAGACTCGTGCTGTCCAATAGAACTTTCTGCAATGATGGAAATGTCCTGTATGAGTGTTATTCAATATAGTAGCCACTAGTCACATGTGGCTACTGAGCACTCGAAGTGTGGGTAGTGTGACTGAGGAAGTGAATTTGTCATTGTATTTAATTTTAATTTATTTAAATTTAAATAGCCAATGAGGCTTGTGCTACTTATAGGACAGCACAATCTAGACAAATTCTTGACCATCATGAAATTTTAGAGTGATTTAGGCCATCCTTTTGTCATTTTTATCTTTTATCTTTCAGGATGCTAACCTCAGTGGGTTACTTTGCTCTGTCTCTCAATGTTCCTAATTTACATGGAGATGCCTACCTGAACTGTTTCCTTTCTGCCTTGATTGAAGTTCCAGCTTACATTACAGCCTGGTTGCTACTGCGAACTCTACCCAGGCGTTATATCATAGCTGGGGTACTGTTCTGGGGTGGAGGTGTGCTTCTCTTAATTCAACTGGTGCCTGCAGGTAAGTTAATCAAGATTAGCAGCTTACCAGAAAAGACCCACACATTGACTTAGGCCACTTAGGAGTCTCTGCTCCCTGTTTATACAGCCTTTAGATCATAAACCATTCATGTGTCAATTACATAGATGATTGCTAACTACATGTAACTTCCTGTGTTCAAAGCAACTACCCTCAAACAAAAGAGTCAGCCCTGAAGAATCAGAAATCACTAAAGAGGAAGAATAACTCTCCCAGTCATCCCCTTCATAGAAAGACTTACCTAAATTTTCAGACCTTTCTTTGAGTTACAGTCATGATTCCTAACTTCTTGGTTCTTTCAAACCTGTTCTCTGAGGTGTAACTTCAAGTGTTAGAGCTGGTAGTACATGCCAGTTCCAGTATACATTCAGTGACCTTATGGTTTAAACTTTAAAATAGTTAAATAGCCCACAAAGAGATATGTGCTTTTCCTTTCCCCTCGCATCTAACGTTCTCATAATACTAAAATGTTAAATCAATAAATTATTGATACAAATTAATATACATAGAAATAGACATTTCCTAATAAGAAGAAACAAGATAGAAAGGGTTCGCCCTTCTCTTTGATGATTAAGCTTAACTGTCTTAACAAGCTAACAACATATCATGCGCTGTCGTAACAAAAGACAAGTGGACAAAGGTCACTGAATGCATTAATGAGCTAGAATAACAGTAGAGCAAAGTACAAAGCCACCTCTCACTCACCATCTTTGTCAGTGTCTAATTACTAAGACATTTGGAGAGTAAGTATTATATTGGGAATATCCTTATGATAATAAAAGAATTCCCATCAAAGAAAAATGACAATAAAAGCAACTGAGTTAAGAAAAGTACCACTTTTGAAAGCAACCCGATTGACACTGGGTCTCTTTTTCAGATTACTACTTCCTGTCCATTGGCTTGGTCATGTTGGGAAAATTTGGGATCACCTCTGCTTTCTCCATGCTGTATGTCTTCACTGCAGAGCTCTACCCAACCCTGGTCAGGAACATGGCTGTGGGGGTCACATCCATGGCCTCCAGGGTGGGCAGCATCATTGCTCCTTACTTTGTTTACCTCGGTGAGACACATCTTGTCAGTTTGTTCTTTCTTTAGTTTAAAACATAAAAGTAAGATTTTCATTGTGAAAAATTCAAATAGCATACAATGTACTAGAAAAAGTTTACCTTTCCTCTCCCAGGAGGAACCCTAGAAATAGCCAATATTAACAGTTTGGTGAGTAGACATTTTGCTTTGCAGAGCATATATACATATATGTGTATATATTTTTAAACACGCAAATAAAATTATATACATTGTTTGTAACTTTTAAAACTTAGCATTACATCAAAATATCAGTCCAAATGGGCATATATTGTTCTTTTACCTTCTTTCTTTAATAAGTACGTAGTCTTCCAATATGTGTATATACATAATTTATTTAACTACTTTCCAGTGAATGGTATTTAGGCCATTTCCAGGTTTTTGCTCTTACAAATAACATTACAGCAAACATTCTCCTATGCTGTTACACCCTTTGTACATTTATTTAAATATATTTGGAGTCACAGAAAAATTCATAGAAGTAAAATTCCTGGAACAAAGTCTACCTTTTAAAAATGTCATAGGTATTACCAAATTGAACTCTAAATTATTGTACCAATTTACAATGCAATTATTAATAGATGACAGTAGTTATTTCCCATATCCTCACCAGCAATGGAGGTTACCCAATTTTTTAAAAATCACTGGTCATCTGTTATGTGAAAAATGAATATCATTGTTGCTTTCATTTCTAGTTATTTAATTGTGAATAGGTTGAGTACTTTTTTATGTATTTATTATCCATCCTATTTATCTTTCAGTGAGCTGACTGCTCATGTCTTTTACCTATTCTTTAGTGGTTTATTCATCTTTCTGTTTTGTGCAGGCTCTTTGTAATAAAAGGAAATTAGCCCTTTGTATATATGTTGCAAATATTTTTTCTAATTTATCATTTGCATTTTGACTATATGATATCTTTGCAATATAGAAAATTTTAGTTTACATATGCTCAAATGTATCAATCTGAAATAATACCACAGAGAGATTTCAGTAGAATGCTCCAGGTGATGCAGTCCTAGTCCTCCCCAAACCTAATCCTCATTAAGGACTCTACTGGTGAGAAATGTGGACACACCTTCTTATCCTTCCTAGTCATCCATTAGTTACCTGATGGTTCAAACACATGCACACAGACACACACACACACACACACATACACACACACACACACACACACACACACACACACACACACACACACAAAGAGAGAGAGAGACCTCAAGATATATATGAATCCTCAGAAAATACATATACTAAATCCTTACAGAGAAAGAGAAACATTTTCCTAGCTAAAACATACTCTGCACAGCTGCCCTGGACCACCCCTGACACAGTATATTATACAGAGTGGTGTTAGCTCCCTTTTGTTCTCCCCTGTACTTTCAAACCATGCTTAGCTGGTCCAGTGATGGGCTGCTGGTACATAAGATACTGAGTTCAAGAGCTCTCTACTCTACAGTAGCTACTCCTGTTAGCCACAAAGAGGACTCAGAGAAGCTTCAGGATCAATTTTTTCTTATGTTTTGGGTCAAACAAAATACATGGGTGTGTTGTTCCTCTATGATCTCAGTATATATGCAGAAAGGAACCAAGAAGAGGATCTATTATTCTCCTGTTTGGGTAACACCACATAAAGAAGAAATTACATATTAAGCCATGGGCCTAGCCTTCCACTGCAGCCTATTTATTGGTCTGGGCAAAAGCCGAAGTCACACCAGGCTTATAATAACCAGTACCTGTCCCTAAAACATCGTGATCAACCTTTCTCTCAGGAGGGCATAGTGGCTTATTCTTATAATCCCAGCACTTTGGGAGGTAGAGGCGAGAGGATTGCCTGAGACCACAGGTTCAAGACCAGCCTGGGCAACCTGGAGAAACCTCATCTCTACAATAAATCAAAAACATTTGCTGGGCATGGTGGTGCACGTCTGTAGTTCCAGCTACTTGGAAAGCTAAAGCAAAAGGATAGCCTGAGCTCAGCAGGTCCCAGCTGTGGTGGCCATGAACATGCCACTGCACTCCAACCTGGGTGACAGAGTGAGATTCTAATTCAAACAAAAACAAAACCCTTTTTCCCCTTGATGTCTTCCCATCTCCCATATTGAATTACCTCCACTCTAAGAGGAGAACTTTGGTAGGCAAAGACTTCTATCAAAGGAACATCGGTCTGTCACCAAGATTAAGAAGTAACTTAGCATGTACCAGTTGACAGGAAAAATGAAAAACCTTACGATGATGTAAAATGATTATAGAAATGCACAATGTCATGTCAAAAGAAACTGTGATATTTTGCTTACTTTTTTCTTCTGAAAATGTTCCGATTTGAAACTACTCTCCTGTCTTGTTTGCCATCTTCACAAAATGACTCTCAAAAGCGTCCAGAGAATCCCTGTATCTAATTGATATTATGTCTGGTGCTTTACAGGTGCTTACAACAGACTTCTGCCCTACATTGTCATGGGCAGTCTGACTGTCCTGATTGGTATCATCACCCTTTTTTTCCCTGAAAGCTTGGGAATGACTCTACCAGAGACTTTAGAGGAGATGCAGAAAGTGAAAGGGTAAGTGGAACTCAACAAAATGATACCAAAATTCCTCAGGAAGACAAAACATGCAAAAATAGGAAAGTCCTGAAAAAAGAAATTGAATACATAGAAACTAGCTCTATCAGATATTAAAACATATTACTAAGCATAGTAATTATAACAGTGTAACAGTTAATGGTATCGAAGTAGAAGCCAATGAAATAAGATAGAGTTCAGGATAAAACTCGAGAAAATATGAAATTTTAGTATGTAATAAAAAGTAGCAAAATCAGTGGGGAAAAGTTAGATTATTCAGTAAAAGGGTGTTAGAACATTCAGCTGGATATTTTAAATAATAAAGAAGTTAAACTTTACAAAATACACCAAAATAAAATCCAGAAAGATTAAAATTTTAAGCCTAAAAACATAAAACCAAAAATGTAAAAAAAGAACATAAATATTTTTATAGTATTTAAAGAAGATCTTTCTGAGCATAATATGAAAATTAAAGAGCCATAAAAGAAAATATTTATATATCTGATTATATAATTTAAAAATTATTAGCAAGACAAAAAGAAACCATAAAGACAAAAGTTAACAAGCCAGGGGGAAATGTTTGCAACACAAAATAGAGACATAAGACTTACATACCTAATATACAAAAAGCTCTTAGCTATCAGTGGGAAAAGACAAAACACAAGAGGAAAACTAGCAGAGGACAGGAACAGGCAGTTTACAGAAGAGAAAACTTAAGTGTCCAATACACACAGGAAAAAAATTATTTATTCACATTAATAAAGAAATGTAAAATAAAACAATATCATTTTTGGGCATATGAGGTTGTGCAAGATTCTTCTTCCTGACGCCAACCAATTCTGACATCTATGGAGTGTCCTACGGTTCTGCTCAGTTGTGACATTACCCGAAGTTAGCATCAGACTCCGCAGGTTTACAGGCTCAGTACCACAGTACTGCCCTCACCTCACTCGCAAGTATTGGGTCTCCAGGTTACCCAACGTCTGTTGACTGGCTACAGAGCCTAGGGTTCCAACAGCTTCTAGAATGACTCACAGTGTTCCAGAGAACAATTACTAATTGTGGTTTATTATAAAGGATACAGATGAACAGTTAGATGAAGAGGTTCACAGGGTGGGATCTGAAAAGGCACTTCTGTCCCCGTGGAGTTGGGGTGTACTACCCTCCTGGCACACAGATGTATTCACCAACTCAGAAACCTGCCACGCTCCATCATTTAGGGGTTTTCATGGAGTTCTCAGCACTTTGTCACAATTGATTATTAAGTCTATCTCCAATCTCCTCTCCCAGAGGTTAGAAAGAGGGTGGGGCTGAAAGTTCCAGGCTTCTAGGTAAGCCTTGGCCTTTCTGGTGGTCAGCCTCCATTCTGAAGCTATCTAAGGGTCCTGCCAAGAGTTGTCTCATTAGAACCTCTTATCACCCTTATCACTCTGGAAATTATAAGGGATGTAGGCTCTCTGTCAGGAACCAGAGACAAAGACCAATATATTTTCTCTGACACCAAAGCATATCAAACATTTAAAAGATTAGTGGTATGGTAGGAGAAGTTTGGCATATAGAGTAACAATCCCTGGTTTCAAATCCCAAATCTACTGCATAAATTTGGACAAATAACTTAATTTTCACTAAACCTCAGTATTCCCATCTGTTATATAGGAAAATTCCATATGACTATCTTGAGGTTATAAAAGATAAACTCCTTACTAAAGTGTTCTCAGTACCTGGCCATGATTAAGATAAGTCTACATATGAATGGATTCTGATCCCTGACAAACATGTACAGCAAAAGTTGCCCATTTTTGATAAGTTGTATTCTTCTAATGATATAACTACTTCAATATCAACTTTAATTGACAAGAATGTCATGCTCATCCATTTATCCTTTCCTCAGGGATAAATTTAAATTCTGGGGTTTACGGTTAGTTGAGAAAATGGCTCTAGAGTTTTTAAATAATACAATACTAGATCTACACTCATTAGGCTCTTATTTGAGTTCAAATAATTACTTGTTCATTAATTGGAGAAATGTTTCTCAGTTCCAGTTTGGCATTTTGTGGAGAAAAGTCCTGAATATTTAATTTTTTGGCATCTATTTTATTTTCAGGTTCAGATCTGGAAAAAAGCCAAGAGATTCAATGGAGAGGGAAGAAAATCCCAAGGTTCTAATAACTGCATTCTGATAAAAAAAAAATTTCTGCTTCATTTGGTAAACTGAAAAACATAAATAAGACTCTGTGAAGAAACCAAAGCCTTTCCTGCTGAAATGGACTGACTGTAGCAACTGACACTAAAATGGACCTTACTATCTAGAAATGCTTGTCATATAGTAAACTCTGAACCATCCTTCCAGATAATGTCCTAACTAACTATTTTTAGACAGCCTCCTTACTAATTAATTCAATGAAATTGATTTGTAAGATTTTTTGAAAATGTGTTAGTCAAGGACTGGTAAAGTACATATAAAGATTAACATTCTTTTCCAAACATAAGAACACTACCTAAATAAAAAGAATGTCATTATATTAACACAACTATTAGATGCAATTGTGTGTATGTCTGTGTACATGTGAAAGATAAACCAGCACATTCAAAATTATAGTAGTTCTCGAAATGAACCAAATGATTATATGCGGTATTCCTATCCAGAAATCCTCAAACACCCCTTTGAGAGGAATTGATGACTGTTAGAGGAAAAAACAAAATTTTTCCCTTCTCTCACAATCAACACAGAATACTTCTGTGACCAGATTGAGGGTGGGGGTACCCATATACCAAGCAATTTTCCAGTGGACATCAACTGGGTGTCCTATCATTCAAATCAATTCTGACACTATCTACAGTTGTAGGATCAGTCTCATAAGACTGCCCCCGCTTCAGAAGCCAGTCAAAAATACATACCACATGTACTTCTGACCTACCAGATATAAACCAGGGTTTCCATGATCCCCTCCTTGGGTTCGATTAATTTTCTAGGATGGCTCTCAGAACTCAGGGAAACATTCACACTTGCTGGTTTATTATAAAGGATACAGATGAACAGTCAGATGAAGAAATACATGGGGTGAGATCTGGAAAGGTCTCCAGCCTGGGAGCTTTAGTCCCAGTGAAGTTGGGGTACACCACCCTCCCAGCTAGTGGGTGCATTCACCAATCCAGAAGCTTACCACATCTTGTTGTACAAGAGATTTTATAGAGTTTGATATCCAGCCTCTTTTCTCTCCCAGAGGTCAATGGGTGGGGCTGAAAGTTCCAACCCTCTTGGAAGGTGACTAGCCCCTTCCTAAGAATATCTAGGGCCCCACATTAAGTAACCTCATTAGCATAAACTCAGGAGTTGTCAAAGGGGATCATTATGAAAAAAAGATACCCCTGTCACTCAGAAAATTCCAAGGGATTGGGGTGCTCTATGACTGAAACAAAGGCTGAGATAAAGACCAAATATACACATTTCTTACTTTACCACAATGGCAGATATTCATAGTATTTTAGCCTGGCTTATATGGCCTATCTGCCTGTGAGAAGGGAGCAAGCCAGTTACTAGCTACAGTTTCAGTAGCTACACCTCACAGCCTACTAAGTGGTCCCTATTTGTTGAGCATGGGACTAAGCCTTCTGTTTCCTAAAATGGCTTAAGATATATTTTGTTGGCAAACAGAAAATCAGGAAAACTGCACAAGCCAGTTAGATTGGTAGGAATGGTTTATATGTCCCTCAGCCAAGAGGGGTGAACACCAAGAAAGAAGCTGTTGAAGCCAACAGTCTAGAGGACCTTTCAAAACTGTTCTCTTCATGAATACATACCTTCCCAAGCATGGGATTCAGCTGTATCCTCTCGAACCAGTATGTACCAGGCCAGCAATATCAGAACCTCAGTGCCACAAATAAGCAAGCATAAAAGATAAAAGTCACCAATGCGCTAACATATAGCTCAGAAAAGAAATGTCAACTGTGTGACTCATCATTTATTAGGCAAGCTGAGATGATGATGTAGCAAGAAGTTATTCCTAGAGACTTGGGGCAGCATGCTTTCATTGAAAATGACTTATCTTTCAATGAAAGTGACAAGCTACTGACCCTTGAACACATCCAGCACGACAGCACACTGGTAGAAACAGGGAGCCACTAGTTTTGGACATGCTTGGTGGCTAAAAATAATTATTGTGAAATGGAAATTTTCATTATATTTCAAAGGATCCCCTGATGCAACATCTTGATAAACTGTCATTATTTCAAAATCTATATCTTAAACATTTCTGATTAACTCAAAATTTTTTTCTCTGTATTGTCCTATTCCTAATGCACATTTTATATCTGAAGCACCACATACTGGTCCTACTTTTTAATTATTATTTTTAAATCCATAGGATCTCTTAGGATAGTTTACTTTGTCATTAGGAATGCAGGTATACAGCCTCAGCTACCCAGCATTCTTATCTCCCCATGGCAACCTGTCTAGATCACCTTTCTGCCTACCTGTAGGCCATAGGCTACCTGTCCTGCAGAGTGCAGGTCACGCTACCTCTCAAGAAGCTATCCTTGAATTTGCTTCCCAGCTTTGCAGCGACTGTTCACTCCTCTGGGCTGGGCTGGTACTTGTCAGCCTCGCTCAGTTGTTCCTCTATATAGCTATAGGTTCTGAGAGACCAGGGACTCATCTTGCTTATATTTTTATCCTCCAGAGTGTTGCTTAGTACAGTACTTTCTTGCACCTAATAGGCATTTGATAACTATTTATTTTAGTTAAAATATCTTTTAACTCCAGCCCGGTGAAAATGTTTGATACATAGACATTTGAATTTTTAAACACTGAAATACTAAATGCTCTTAAAGCTTTTCTAAACATAAAAAGTAAGGATGTGTTATTTAACTTTTATTGCTGTTTGTGTGGGTACTCTATAATCTTTCACTGTAAGAGATGACCTTTTAAGATCTGTTTATAAAAAGGCCAAAGTACACAAATTATTATATCTTTGGTAGTTCAAAGACCAAGTAGACTAATACATACCAAACTGTTACTTGATTATATTCAAGATGTACTCCTGCTTTTTTAAAACTTTAAACATTAGGGCTAAAGGGGAACTTTCTGAATGTGCTTTTGAATATCAATCTCAAACTGACAGCAACATTACAGGGAAACACACTAGAGACATTCCCATTAACAAAAATTTTATGAATACTTTTTTTTTTTAAGTTGGAGTCTCAATCTGTCAACCAGGCTGGAGGTCAGTAGCATGCTCGTGGCCACCGCAGCCTCAACCTGCTGAGCTCAGACAATCCTTCCTCCTCAGCCTTCCAAGTAGCTGGAACTACAGGCATGCACCATCATGCCCAGCTAATGTTTTGATTTATTGTAGAGATGAGGTCTCACCAAGTTGCCCAGGCTGGTCTCGAACTTGCGGGCTCAGGCAATCTTCTCACCTCAGACTCCCAAAGTGCTGGTATAGGCATGAGCCACCACACTCGACTGGATACGTGTTTTAGCACATTTTCTTTCCAATATTTTTGGGAAAGTTTTAGTAAATATAGTCATAGTATAAAACCAGATTAAAAATAGGAAAATTATCAATATTATGAGAAACAGATGATATTCTATTTTTAAAATCCAAAATAATTAACTAAAAATTCTTAGGCTTAATAAGAGTTCAGTTTAAGTGGTGGCTTATAAGAAGCATCTGTAAATCAGGATTTTTTGGGTGTTTTTTGTTTGTTTGTTTTAAGTTGGAGTCTTACGCTGTTGTTCAGGCTGGAGTGCAGTGGTACGCTCACGGCCACCCCAGCATTGACCTGCTGGACTCCAGCAATTCTTCTGTCTCAGCCTTCCAAGTAGCTGGAACTATAGGCATGCACTACCACACCCGGCTAATTTTTTATTTATTGTAGAGACGAGGCCTCTCCAAGTTGCCCGGGTTGGTCTTGAACCCACAGGCTGAAGCAATTCACTCGCCCTGGCCTCCCAAAATCCTAGCACTACAGGCTGAGCCACCAAGCCTGGCCTAGGATTTTTGTATATACTAGAAATAACCCGCTAGAAAATATACTGGGGAAAAAAACAGATGCCATTCATAATAGTCATAAAAATGCAAATTACCTATAAATAATTTCAATAAGCAATGTATAAAACCTATGTGAAAAAATTATCCCATATTATTGAGATTTGAATGGAGAATATACCATGCTCCTGAATAGGAAGACTGGATGCTGTGAACTTGCCATTCTGACCAAATAATTTATAGCCCTAATATAACTAAGATTAATATTTCAGTAAGGTATTTTAAGAACTTAAACAATAAACCTAAAAGATATCTGAAAGAACAAATATGAAATAAGTCTAAGGAACTTTTGAAAAACAACAGTGATAAGGGGAAATATTTTTTGCATATGTAAAAATACAGGATAACTATTCTAAGTTTCTTGAGGGGGAAAAACACAAGAAAGATAAATCAATGAAATAGGACAGGTAGCCCATAAACAATCCCGTGTGCTTATAAAATTTTAACATATGATAAGAGCAGATTATAAATTATCAAGAAAATGATACATTATTGAAGACTGGCATTGGGACAATTGACAAGATGGAAAACAGGTACAAATTGAAAAACTGGGAGAAAAAATAGTATCCCAATATAAATCATGTTTGTGATGAACAAACTCAAACTAACTCTTGATCATTTGAAGAGTCAAATGTAATAAATAAATGAAAAGTTAGAAAAAAAATACAGGTGATTATTTAATCTTAGAATAGATAAGTAATTAGAGATAAGATTAAATAGATTTTGCTGTAAACTTTTACAGCAAAAGTAAATTTAAAAATCTTAAAAGTAACACAAGTTGGAAAAATATTAACAATAATATATCAGGCAAAATTACCATTCTTTCTACATATACACCCGTTTTTTAGATGCCCACTAAGTTGGAAAAATATTAACAATAATATATCAGGCAAAATTACCATTCTTTCTACATATACACCCGTTTTTTAGATGCCCACTAATAATCTAATTAAAGCAACTAAGCCTTTGGAGACAAGGCTTAGTTGGAGACAACATAGCCTTTGGAGACAAGTGTTCCTGGGTCTGACGCTGATCCTGGCCATCACTTATGTCTTAGCTGTGTGTCCTTGAGCAAGTTATAGTCATCCTAAACCGCAGCTTCATCATCCATAAAGGAGGATATAACAATTCCACTGGGTGAGACTCACACGAGATCATGCATGTACTGTATTTAGCACCATGCCTGGCACAGGCATGTCCTCACTCCCCTTCTTTTCCAGCTTAAATTCCATGCTTAATCATTACAAAAAACTTATTTGCCCCTTTTTTAATCTACCTTACTCTTTGGGGCAAGCTATAATGTTTGTCAAATCCAACTTCTCTTCTACTTCTCACTGTCACCTACACAGCTAAATGTAGCTGGAAAATATTTGCAAGACTGCTGATTGTTCAACTTGATCGCTGGTTACTTCGAAAGGACCCTTACTGTCCTGGTCCATTCCCTACCCTGGATGACCTTCTTTCTCTTCAGAACTCC